TTATTCTCTGTTGTATTCTCCAGCAAACAATACATACAAGTACAGTACACTATTTTCTGAGGAAACACGCATACTTATCCTTTTTTAACCCCATTCCCGATAACCCGGCATTTTCACAAACTCAGCCACCCTTTGGTCCACATTAGGCAGAGTTTTCGAGGTTCTACTGTATCTCTGAAATAATTTACAATGTAAAATGATAAAATCTCCTTGTAGAAAAACTTGTGCGCCATTCGGTTTCTTCAATAAAAACTACAAAAAAACAGGAAATAAAGCATGTATGTAAATTTCTTTTACTCAGGTATATATTACCAGGAAACAGCTTATCTATCTGCTTATACTGAAAGGAAAAATAATTTTTTTTTTAAGTTAATCAAAAAAGTAACAAGCTTAAATAGCAATATATCAAATTGCCATCTCTCATACAGAAAACATTTAGTAATAGGCATATTTAAGTCCACCTTGTAATTAATGATAATTACAATTATTTACACAACACCGATTATTTAAAACATTAATATTGTCAAGAAAAAGTATTAGTATTTACATATTTCATTAAATATGATTTCTTCGTATAAAAATTATAAAAATTGTTCTAAAGCGGCAATCAAATGAAACGTATTTAAATGTTTTTGAATGAAAAATGTAGTAATTGAGAATGCTTGGTTTTGTTTTTCTAAGTTTATATCTTAAAGAAGTCATGTTAGTTTTTAAGGAAAAAATTTTATAATCATTACTTTTTATCAAATAAAACATTTATTACAGCCAGACTGAAATATATACACATTGCTTACAATCTAATAAATTATTTTAAAATACATCAATATATAAACTGTTCAATTAATAAGCATTAAATGAAAAGTTTATATTTATCATTCTAATAAAATTAGTATTTGCTCTATTGATTTTATAACTTTAGAAACACAAAAGTTATTGAATTTATTATCATTTAATGCAATGTAAACATAGCTTGTTCAATGTTAATTTATATGTTATAAAAATAAATATAGGAAGCATTTTATTCTAAGACTTTAAAAGATAAGATCATATGCTAAAATAAAATATTTTGTTTAGGNATCCTTTTGTAGAATATATTACTATTTTTACTACAGATGGCCAAATGGGCGCGGGATCAAGGTGGTAGTCTACCGAAGTGGTTTGAATCCCGATAAGATCGAAAAATTCCCAGAAAGTTTTTGGGGGTTGGTCCATTGGAATATGTTGGGCCCTGCCCCTCACCACCCAGCCGTCCCATTGTGGGCCTGGCTGAATCCCTAATGGACTTGCTTAAAGAGGCCTTCTTAGTGACCAAAGGCCGGAAAGAGTTTAAAAAAAAAATGATTAATATTTTACTCCGATATTTCTGGATACATGGGGTAATTTTTTTTTACATTTTACAGGAACATTTTACAGTCGACCCCCCTATAACACTGTTGATTATTCTGTTTTATATGAATTCCATGTTGTACGAGTAACTGAGATTTTACAAATACGTGTGCCAGGCTGTGAACAACCACGTCGCCATCGTCTTTCGGAAGTCGGAATGGGGAAGAATCGGAGGAGAGCACCGCCGAAGTCGAGGAACTGCAGTTTTGTTGCTGTGGGAGGCTGCGGTTTCCTTGGCCTAGGCCAGGCATGGCCAACATATGGCCCGTCTAATGAATTTATGTGGCCCGTGATCAACCTTCAATATTAGGTTATGAAGTCCTAATAGCTCGATAAAAAATTCTGATGCCTAAAAAAAGTCAACTCATTGTGTTTAGAGTTAAAATAGCTTCATTAAATATTGGAGGTGTATATAAAAACAAATGAATCGTACAAAAAAAAAAAAAAAAAAAAAAAAAAAAGGCTGCACTCATGAATGAAATTAATAGTTCACCCAGACGGTGAGTCTATTCCCGGACTATTCTATCGGTCCGAATCGTAAGTGCGATGAGACTATGGGATAAAATGGTTCNATCGGAGGAGAGCACTGCCGAAGTCGAGGAACCGCAGTTTTGTTGCTGTGGGAGGCTGCGGTTTCCTTGGCCTAGGCCAGGCATGGCCAACATACAATGAATTTATGTGGCCCGTGATCAACCTTCAATATTAGGTTATGAAGTCCTAATAGCTCGATAAAAAATTCTGATGCCTAAAAAAAAAAGTCAACTCATTGTGTTTAGAGTTAAAATAGCTTCATTAAATATTGGAGGTGTATATAAAAACAAATGAATTGTACAAAAAAAAAAAAGGATCGACAGGCTGCACTCATGAATGAAATTAATAGTTCACCCAGACGGTGAGTCTATTCCCGGACTATTCTATCGGTCCGAATCGTAAGTGCGATGAGACTATGGGATAAAATGGTTCAAATTTTTTACAAGATATTATTATTATTTATTGTGAAATTTTGCCGCCCGGGGTGGACCGCCCCCACTAACTACGCCACTGGCTCTGACGTACACCTACCTGGGAATGAGCTGGTGCACCATCCTGCTGATATCAAAGTCACATGAAGCCAGTCATCCAGCCATTCAATGAATATTTGACTTAATCGAAATTTTTTAAATTTACATTATATGAGGCGTTAAATTTTCATGCCAGACATCAATAGAAAAATTCCTAATATTTTCAGAAAAAAAGTCCATTATGATGATAAACATCAAAGAGTAAAATAAATTCAAAGTATCTGAGGTGAAGAAGTATTTGTTGATTTTTCAGGTGTAGAAACAAAAGTTTTTGTAACTAAACTTAAGAATTTTTATATTTTATTTTGTCAGTATACTGTTATGATATTGATATCCTAATAATAAACATTAAATCCTAAAACACTGTTGTAGTTTTGAATTTTGTAAAGATTGCTTAATTTTTTTAAAATAATTATCTGAAGTTTTGAATGTCATATAGCTATCTCTAAATCTGGACTGTTCATATGGAGGTTTTAATTATGATCATCTTGAATCCATATGCCAGTGCTAACTGTGCAGTTGATGAATATCTCTAGCACTTTGATATGATGATGAGGTAACTGGTGCATGGTGAGACAGTACAGCAGGGACAAAAGAGTCAATGGTGTCAAGTGCAAATAAAGAGAAGAGCCCAGGGTAAGTTGTTCCTGTTGATATTGTGGGCAGACGAGCCAGTAGTGAGATAGTGTTTTGTCTTCCCCTCCAGCAGTGTATCCAGGATCTGAAACGGAGGGGGGCAACTAGTTTCTTTGATTGAAAAATTAGCAGCGAACAGCAAAATAGTTCTAAGATTTAATGACAGATGGCTCTAGGCTCTAGTCTAGTCACAAGATTCATTATTCAAACTAATACTAAATTGATACACCTGTGCTGTGTGTCTGTGTGTCAATTACTACACTTTAATTTTTCTTCTAGGGAGGGACAGCTGACCCTCCCTGTGTATGTTCTTGTTTCCCTCAATGAATACAGGCTAGAGAGAGGATAAGAGATTTCATGAATACAAAAAGCAGCATTAAGGAGGGCTGTTTCCATTTGGAGATGGCACAACAGTCCTTCCAGCTCATGATGTGCATCACATGGCCAGCAATGGGAGGGTCTGAGACAGTTCCAGTCTTTATTCTGATGCATGAATGGCCATGCCTAGTCTGTGTAACAACAATGTCCATGCCTATTCTGTAAGTAAACAGACCTCAGAAGATCCCGTGGCAGGTTTATGCCTGCCAGATTGAGCCAGATATTGTCCCCAATAAGGTTGCACTGTCTGTCATCTTGCTGATTGGAATAGTTGAGTCTCAGAGACCAGAATAGGGTAAGAGGGCCAGAAAACAGTCAATGGAGGCTGCCAGGTTAATCAAAGGAGATGGCGAGGACAAATGCTCAGACAAGTGGTGTGAGAATGAAACGACTATCAGTAATTAGCATTGTCGGCTGGCTTATATGTCCACCAAGCTGGAGAGTACATCAAACTAGTTAAATAAACATCAAAAATATTTAATGTAATGAACATTTTTATCCATATCAATCATCTTCAAGTTACAAAGACATCAGGTATGGACAAAAACATTCATTATATTAAATATTTTTGGTGTTTGTTTAACTGGTTTGGTGTACTGATGTGTTTTTAGATAATATATACCATTCTTTAGATATTTAATAGCTGAAGAGGTCTGTGAATAGTCACAGCCTCCACTGTATAAATACTACAGTGGGGGTCACCCTCCATGACATCACTAGAGGTGTCCAGGATGACCACACTCAGCATTGGCTGAATGTGAGATTCTGTCACATAAGATGCAACCATCAGCCAGTGAGGCCACTTATTCTCTATTATACAGTATATTGAAATATTAGTGCCAGGGTGCTCCCTCCAGTGGTATTATGTCCTTGCAGAATTGTTCTATCAGAGTTGAAGTAGCAGTAAAGATGCATGTGCATCAGGTTTCTATCCTGTTGCTGGAGGAAGGCAAAAGCATGTGTAATAAATGGTTTTGTTTTTGCCATGTCCTGGCGATGCCCAGATTAAAGGTTCCAATGGACTGAAAGATTCCATGACAGGTGAGTTAGAATAAAAGCAACTGCATGAAGCTGGAGTTGATCAAGGGGGGAGAAACTTTGCCTCCATGTATAGTGAATGAGGAATACCGTTCTCAAAGCTCTGTTTAAAAGAGGTACAATGTAGCACATGGCATTAGGGAGAACCCTCAAAGAACAGGACTCCAAAAATTCTGCAATAGGACACAGAACAGTGTATTTAAGACATCATATCAGAGGAACATGAAATGTTTTAGGAGAATGTTATATTAGAGATGCTTGATGATAGTAAAATTTACCAAAACTGCTTGACTATTGTTATCATTTTGTATTTTCATTCATTTAAGTAACACCAAAAGACAGTTATCTTTTGTTTTATCTATCACAAGAAAGAATTACACGTGAGATGTTTTTAAAAAGAACTCAAGAAATATTTGTTTAAAGTTATGATAGTGAATTGAGAAACCAATTTTGAATTAATAAAACATTTTAATAACATTAGCGATTTTAAAATTCAAAATGTTTTTTTTATAAATAATTACTAATGTTTTGACATTTGTAAACAATATAGAACTAAAAATTAAAATCTATTGAATTACAACTTAATCCAGTAGAGAACAAGAATTTAATGATGAACTAACGTTTTCAACCTTATTCAAAGGCCATCGTTATGTTTTATCTTTAGAATCTGATGGATTAAGTTGTAGTTTGGTGTGTTTTTATTAAAGTCTACCTATTAAATTTACAAACTGATATTGGCATCATAGAATATAATAATTACATTAAACGTTTTGTTATAAACAAACTAAATGATAGGACTATATCATTAAATATCACAATAAATGACTTTTCATGGAAACTGACTGCATAAAATTTACTACAATATCAGGAAGATTTGGATCCTGATTGATATTTCTATGTCCATAACCTAGGGAATAATCAAATTCTATAAATTCAGGACGTCTTAAATGTGACGGCCTTTCTTCTAATGCTTTCTTAAATAATTTACGTCCAAGTTCTAAAAATACCATCATATCATCACTTGCATGAAGAAATAGAAGAGGCACAGTTACGCTGCCAATCTTTGATTCACTATCAAAATTAGTATCACTGTGACGTGTTGGTTCAGAACAGTACACATGAAAAAGTGGCATATGTCGATGAAGAAATGAAAGCGGAAAAGTATACGTAGCATCGGCAATTGTTGTAAAAGGTGCTTCTAAAAATATAGCCATTGGATTATCGTTATTTTTTCCTAATTCTTCAGCAAGTTGTATTACTACACCAGTACCTAAAGAATGGCCCCAAAAAAATATTCTATGTCTCTTTACTTGAGTTTTTAACCATTTATACATTGCTCTTGCATCTTGAACGAGTCCACTGACGGATGGAGCTACAAACGATGAATCGCCGTATCCTCGATAATCAAAAGTTATTACATGTGCATCTACCTTTGATTCGGTAAGAACTTTATACAATGAAAGTCTATATTTTGCACCTCTATTTTGTGCATTTCCATGAAAATAAAGAATAACAGGTCTATCATCATCAAATTCATTATCTGGTGAGATGGGTTTATTACATTTCATAGTAACACTCTTTGGTAACACATGCCAAACTCCTAAGTAAATTCCTGGTTCAGATTCTATATAAAATTGTCTAGTACAGTTTAATTCAAAATTTTTTGGATCCGATAAATAAATATGGAGTGGCCAATTGAGATTGTTCAGAAACACTGCTTGCCGACGTATCCAGGGACAAAAGTAGAACCATATTGGAAAAATGACATACACAAAAAACAAAGACATTCCAATACTTTTCACCATAACCTTAGTATAGTGTTGATTCCACCAACTTTTGCTATTCTTCAATAATTCCATATTTACATTTTTAGTTACATTGTCATTGCAATCATGTTTTAAAACTGAATATTGTTTTTGCAAAATCCCAACTGAAAAAGAAAATACATATAAATTAATGTATCTTACTCGTTTATTTATTTTAACACGCTTTGTATTGTGTTCTCAAATCTTTCAATTCAAATTTCATCTACTTCTAATTAACATAGAAAGCTGAAACTTTGACAGCACGCGTAAGTCCGATGACAATGTACTTTAATGTTTTAAGAGTGGCCCTGTTTCCACTATTGTCTCCATCCCAAAACCCAATAAACATCATATAGATGTATGTATCAAAGCATTGTAGTCATGTATATAGAGGTTTGCTGAAATCCCCCCCATCACTCACGTTCAATGTCGAAAACATAACCAATAAAAGCGTTATAAAACTGTATTAAAATCACCCTTCTTTACTTTTTTGTTCTTTTCCTCATTTCTATTTCTTTCTTCTCTTCTTCTCCCTTTGAATTTTATAAATTAATTTCGGAAGTGAAAAATTCAGCCGTCCAGGAGTACAAGAATCTTCTCTTCTGTGCCTAGCAAGTGCAGGGATCGCTTCTTTCTTTCCGGCTCTACCTCAATTCTATCGCGACACAACAAAGTCGAGCGACATCCTAGTAAATAAATCAATATTTATCGGACTGCAGCATCGTTTGTCTCATTATTCATAATGGTTNTAATCACAAATATTAATTTATGATAAATTATATGAAATAAAGAAAGGATATCCAAAGAATATGGAGAAGAACAATCAAAGATGATTGTTACAGTTTGGAGATTTAGAGAGAGATTAAATGAATGACACAGAACAATCAGATAGCAGGATCACGAAGGAGTAATTTTCATTGTAATCATGAGTCCTCTAAAACATACAAACGTACATATTAATTTCTGGTTAACAAAAATACACAGTAAAGTCAAAAATAAACAACTTATTGTCAAATGTTTTACTATACAGCACAAATTCTTACATCTTAATTCTTCAAAGTAAGCTTCTTCTAGAATAGTAAAAAGTTCTCACAATATATTAATAAAGAAAAAACATTAAGAAGATACACATCAAAACAGCAAGAAATTGTTTTAATACATTGTATTATTGATTTCTTCTACTGCTTATGTCAGATTGGAAATGAAGTAACAAAGTTATAAACCTTATTTGTGATGAGATTCTCAAAGTCCAATGTTGTGGCAGTCTATCTTTCCATCTATCTCAAACCTTGTGCAGACATACTCAGAAATTTTCTACTATTACATTCCTGAATACCCATAAATTTCCTTGTGAGATCAAGGAGATAATGGATTTCATTTATTATTCCTTGTTGTTCATGTTTGACAACAATGTATATAGATAGTGTGCTGCTTTTTTGAAATTGCTGACCCGGACAAGTTCAGAAATTTAGAAAACTTTGTAACACTATCTCGAACAGGTTGTAACCATTTTTGAAATATGTTTTGTGTCAGCCAATCTTTATTAAATTTAGTTCACTTTCTCTTTTTTTTTTTCTTTCAATTTCTTGAGTTGTCATATTAAATAATTAAAATGGAAATTATAAACTTGTAAACTGAAATTGTCACATTTGCTTTACAATAGGTTTGTCCTAACACAAGTCCCTAACTGGTTTGAATTTGAAACTGTATGAGGCATGCGCAATGTCATTTTACAACCAAGAACTGAACAATGCGCATGCCAGTTTTAAACCAGTTAGGGACTTGTGTTGGAACTAACCTAATATTTGCCAGAGATATTTGCAAGTTAGAATTTTAAAAGTACTTTTTCTGTCACTCAGCTTAGTTTGGGTGGGGGTGTGAAGTTAGTCTTTAACCATTAAAATAAAATACTTGCAAATATTTTTATAATTTCATTTTGTATCACAATTTCTCAATTTCTACAAAAACTGGACAAATTAATAATTAATCCAGACCATGAATTTAAAAACCGGCTTGTCCGGGTGAAAACCGGCCTGGTGGCAACACCCATATACAGACAAAAAAAAAAGGAAATAGGCCAATAAGAGTTGTCAGAATTGGTCATAACAAACATTACAGAAAACTGATGATAACAATATCTCATTTCCTCCATAAATAACAATTATTTTGGTTTGAACTTTAAGTCAGAACAGAAAAACAAACCTCAAATCCATTTTTTGAACCAAGGTGATTTAGAATAACACTCAAATTATCAAAATGTTACATTCCCCATGTACTGTACTGTATGCCTCAGCATAGAAAAGACAGATAACTCAATAAAAACAAAAGCTTAAGGACATTGTTTAAATGCGAAGGATGATAATTCATCTCCCACACTTTTGGAAGATTTTATCGATTAACCCTTTGCAACCTCTATCCTCTTCCTACAATCATAAGGGTTGTTTTCCCCATTTACTTTAGTTATAATTCAAAAAGTAACTGCTACAGTATATCACTCAATCACACACAATACTGAATAGCAGCAAACAGATTTATTGAACTGGAAAAAATATTTTTTATCATTTTTAATGATCATCAGGTTGATGTTCCAAAAATCAAAATTTACAAATACTAATGGACAGAGAACAAAAATAAGCAAACATCAATGTATTTAAATATAAAAAAATAAAAAATAATAAAAACTTTTTATACTGCTACATAACTGACATGAACAAAATTTATGTTTATTTTGTATCTTTAAAACATTTTAACATTTATTTGTTTACTTTATTATCCTTTATAATTATTCAATTATTTTATTCAATTCACAAATATAGTTTGTTTACACTGATATATTTCAAATATTTTTTTATTTAAATTTGTGCATTCCTTTTTGATTGTATCCTGAAGATGATGTATTTTATTGATCCAAAATATTAGATTTTAAAACAATTTCTTGTTGTTTGTTTCAGTGTGTATCATACTTTTTGATAATAGCAACAGCTAGATATTAACAGAAAAAAAAATTTTAAATAACTACAATTAAATATATAATGTATATATATTCTAGGTACATGTATGCTTCAAATAATTATACTTAAAAACAAGTTTAATACTTTGATCTATTAATCTACTATTGCCAGAAGCAAAATTTAAATGTTCAACTTAAGAAATAGATTAAAAGCTACAGAAATATATTCATACAGGTTTTATATCTGAAAATAATTATATTATTTTCAGATATAAAACCTGTAGCTTTTAATGTATTTCTTAAATTGAACATTTAAATTTGCTATAATGAACAACTGAATACCAATAACTATAAAATGAGATAAATTAAAACATTTTTGTATAAATTAAAAATCAAAGAAAAATATATTATTTGACCAATTACAAAATAATTACATAACTGTATTACAGCAGAACCTTGAAAACTTGGATCTCGATAACCCGGCACTCCGGATAACTCAGCCACACCCTGGCAGGGCAAAAAAATCCTTAGTTAATTAATTTTCATTATAGACAGCTTTATAAAAGTATAAAAGCTCTCATAAAGTATTTTTCTGAGGTCTGTCTTATCAGGTAAATTACTGTACACAGTGTATTCATTAATTTTCATTTTCATGTAGTANTGTGGATATCAAATAATTTTTTTAAATGAAGTTTTTATTTATTCCATGCCTTCAGACATTTTGTTTTTCCTTTTTATATCTTTTTAGTTCTTGTTTTATTTGAAATTATATATTTTTTATTGCAGTCCAGTGGAGAAATTGTTTGTTTAGCTAATGAGTTTAATTTTAATCATAAGAATTTGAATAATCTTACAAGTTAGTTTGAAAGTAATATTTAACAAAAGTCTTGTCCAAATTTGGGTTAATTTAATTATTTTTTTTATTATTCCAACCACAGTGTTTCAAACTTGTTTTGGATTTTCTCTGTTGCACCCGCATTTTGATGTTTTTCTTATGATGTATTTTTCATAAATTTAAGAATTCCTTCACTCTTTTTGTGAACAACATCAAAGTGAACTGTGTTAATTCTACAAATTTAGACATTAAAAACAAATTTACTTAGAGGAAAATAAATTTGAACTTAGTCTTAGTATTTATTGCTTAATATACATTATATTAATTTGTCAAGATAAGTTTAAAATATGTAAATTTGTACTTCTTTTGTTACAAGCCTATAGTTACATTTATACTATATGTAAAGCTGGCTACACATGCATTATTTGTCAACTGACAAATGTTTGCCTGTAGATGTAATACTTCCAAAACTGTTCGTCAAATGTATGGATTGCAGTTCTGTAAGCTCCAGGACAAATATTTGTCTGCTTTGATGTGGGCAAAAAAAGTTTATTCTGAGTTTGCCAGATATGTCCGAATGTTTGCCGATTCTCATCTGTAAACATTCGGGCATATTTGGCTGATCCCAAACATTTACCACAAACTATCCATCCATACTACTACGTATTTGCCAAATGGCAAACATTTGTCATTTGGGATTTGGTAAACATTGTGTGTATTGCCAGCTTAAAAGTACAAATAAAGCATAATGATGTTTCTAGCCATGAAAATGATAGTAGTGCTGTTACGGCCAAATTTGCAACCAAGTTAGCCAAAACCATTCACTTTACTTTTACTACACGAATAGTTATCGGTTAACTTCTAACTTTTGACCCTTGCTTGTGAATATGGACATTAGTGACAAAACTGCCATATTATAAGTTGAAATATATTACCAGTAACTAATACACACACAATCTCTTTATTAATGCAACATTATTGCATCACTGGTACCGCAATAGCATAACCAGTTTATACATGTTTAAGGTTGAACACAGGAATATGAAGTAATGTGCATCAATGCATTTACATAAGATATACACCGTAAATTAATACCGTAACATATAACAGTAACTAATACAGTCGACCCCCTTATAACACTGTTGATTATTCCATTTTATATGGATTCCGTGTTGTACGAGTCACTTAGATTTTACAAATACGTGTGCCGGGGTGTGAACGGCTCACGTATTTGTAAAATCTATGTGATTCGTACAACACGGAATTCATATAAAACGGAATAATCAACAGTGTTATAAGGGGGTCGACTGTATTAGTTACTGTTATATGTTACGGTATTAATTTACGGTGTATATCTTATGTAAATGCATTGATGCACATTACTTCATATTCCTGTGTTCAACCTTAAACATGTATAAACTGGTTATGCTATTGCGGTACCAGTGATGCAATAATGTTGCATTAATAAAGAGATTGTGTGTGTATTAGTTACTGGTAATATATTTCAACTTATAATATGGCAGTTTTGTCACTAATGTCCATATTCACAAGCAAGGGTCAAAAGTTAGAAGTTAACCGATAACTATTCGTGTAGTAAAAGTAAAGTGAATGGTTTTGGCTAACTTGGTTGCAAATTTGGCCGTAACAGCACTACTATCATTTTCATGGCTAGAAACATCATTATGCTTTATTTGTACTTTTAAGCTGGCAATACACACAATGTTTACCAAATCCCAAATGACAAATGTTTGCCATTTGGCAAATACGTAGTAGTATGGATGGATAGTTTGTGGTAAATGTTTGGGATCAGCCAAATATGCCCGAATGTTTACAGATGAGAATCGGCAAACATTCGGACATATCTGGCAAACTCAGAATAAACTTTTTTTGCCCACATCAAAGCAGACAAATATTTGTCCTGGAGCTTACAGAACTGCAATCCATACATTTGACGAACAGTTTTGGAAGTATTACATCTATAGACAAACATTTGTCAGTTGACAAATAATGCATGTGTAGCCAGCTTTACATATAGTATAAATGTAACTATAGGCTTGTAACAAAAGAAGTACAAATTTACATATTTTAAACTTATCTTGACAAATTAATATAATGTATATTAAGCAATAAATACTAAGACTAAGTTCAAATTTATTTTCCTCTAAGTAAATTTGTTTTTAATGTCTAAATTTGTAGAATTAACACAGTTCACTTTGATGCTGTTCACAAAAAGAGTGAAGGAATTCTTAAATTTATGAAAAATACATCATAAGAAAAACATCAAAATGCGGGTGCAACAGAGAAAATCCAAAACAAGTTTGAAACACTGTGGTTGGAATAATAAAAAAAATAATTAAATTAACCCAAATTTGGACAAGACTTTTGTTAAATATTACTTTCAAACTAACTTGTAAGATTATTCAAATTCTTATGATTAAAATTAAACTCATTAGCTAAACAAACAATTTCTCCACTGGACTGCAATAAAAAATATATAATTTCAAATAAAACAAGAACTAAAAAGATATAAAAAGGAAAAACAAAATGTCTGAAGGCATGGAATAAATAAAAACTTCATTTAAAAAAATTATTTGATATCCACATGGATGAATGATTTGGAGCAGACACCATTTTAATTTTGGTTTTTCTATATATAAATATAATGCCCATTATTTTAGTATTATTCTCAGCCATGTTTTTTTTTTTACCAAAGAATAATTACCGGCAGAAATGGTATTCTTAGCACAAAGTAATAAATAATGTTATCGGCAAAAACTTTTTAATAAATTTCTCTAACGCCGAGATAGCATAGCTTTTCTTCTGCGGGAATAATTCCAATTTAATAAGCCAAATGAATAGAATGACATAATTTATTATTATTATTTTTTTTTTAAGTGCAAGTTATATCATATGGTCTTTCATATATCCCATACTATTAGACATACTTTAATGAAAATTGAAAATAAATTGAAACTACTATTCTTTGCAAAAATCAGTCAAAATGTTTACAATAGAATTAACAATAGTTAACAATTTGAACAGAAGACAACAAGCACAAAGGAAGAGACAGTGCAAGTACCAATGACAACACACAGTCCAACAAATTATTGTTTCATACACGAAAAGAAATTTTACAGCATCTTGTACAGTAAACTTCCTTTCTTATTTAATGTATTAAAACGTGTATATACATATACACTTCAATTACGTAACATTACGAAGTTTTAAACTTTTAACACCACGCAAATAAAAATAAAATCACCTAAACCAATTATAAACAAATGAAAATATTTCCAAGTTACGTCACACGAGACACCCGCACGAGCGTATAACAATACAACCATTGTCTATCCTTGTGTTTATCTTCCATTTTAGATATGTCAATTTCATTTTTAAATTACAAAACAGCAGCGCAGTGCTATAATAGAATTTATAAAAAAAAAAAAAATTACGAGCGTGGTATAAACGATTTTTCGTTAGAAACGCTAATTATTACATCGAAAATTATTGTGAGAGTAGCGATTCCGCGATTAATTGTACTTACCCGTTCGTTGGAATAATGCAAAAACCTTTTTTCCTGCATAATTGAGAGCGTAAGCGAAGAGAGCGAATTGACAGAATTTGCGTTTCGGCATAACCCGCTTTACAGATCGAGGCGATTCATTACTGTCACCGAAAGAAATATGGATTCCGAATCAACCGACCGTTAGCTTTCCTGTACGGCGACCTACTTTACAAGAATTTCGCTTTCTTGACTCATTACTTAACGAGCGGAAACAGAAAAAAAAAATAAATAAATAAATAAATAATCAAAATAACAAATAACACTACATATTTTTTTTAACAAATATTTATATTGTACACGCATTTAATTTCCTATTTATGGGTCTACCGCGCTATAAATAAATTGTAAATATATGCATTGGCAAATATTTGCGTTGAAATAAAATAATAATTATATATTTTAAATCATTTCTTATCATTTAAAAATTTTTTAATTTATGACTGAAAAAAAAATCGATGTAAAAACTCTGATATAATTCTTCCGAAAGATAATATTATTACGTTTTTCTTATTTTAAAATAATTTTTTAAATAATTCGAAATCGTTTTTTGTCGTTTTTGATTAACACAAAATTCGCTAGTTGGCCAATCGTCGCCATTTTTGTAGGTGTCGTTGACCCTAACTACCATAATTTAGATACTATCTCCCTCCCGTACAATAGTTTTTTTTTATTTATTATTGTTATTACTACTTAGGAACGAGACCGACCTACGAATATTAAACCAAATTAGAAATTTTATATTTACATTTATTTTTTATGATATTTTTTACCCAATTAAAACGTCAAATTATGTCACGTCAATCAAAATATTCTGACCTCTGATTGGTTATTTTAAACTATCGGCGTTAATTTAAAATTTGAAAAGACAGTTTATTGTATTTAAATTGTATTTAACTCGAATAACGTTTAAAAATAACAAAAATTTACACTAATTAGACAATTTTATACTGTTCTACATTAATTTAGAATAAAAACAGTGTAAAATAGAATTCACTAGTGTAGACGCTAGTCAATAATTTAATCAAGATCAGAAATTTGGCATTTAATCATTAAATCCGAATATATTTAATTCTTTTTATTTATATTTTAATTACTTTAAGCATAAAAAAAACTGTATAAATAAGTCAAATCTAGCCTACATCTCCGACGAGATAAGCAACCTCAAAATGTTTCGTACGCTTTAATGAGCAAAATTAAAAATAAATGAATTGAGAAATTCCTTATAAAATCGTCAACGAAACATCTCGCTAATGGCCCGAATTATTCCAACGAAAGCCGATAGAAAACGAAAGCGAAGAAAATGCCCAAACGAGGAATAAATTTGACATTTTCCGCTACGGTTTGAGGAAAGGAGAAACGGGTCACGCGATATTAAATTATCTTACGCACGATTTAATAATCTTCCGTTTAAGTCAGTTGGCGATGAGACGATAGCAATTAATTTATTCGAAATTACAAAAATTTAAATATTTTTTTTACGATAAATCAGTTTTCTATGGTTGCGGGCACCCCAACTTGCCAACAGAGGATCCAGAAACCTTTACGGTAGTGCACAAAAGAAACAATATGCTTTACAAAACTTTCTACTATCAGAAATACCCGGCTTTACTGAGAAAACTCTCAGAAAGAGTGCAGCTACACCCTGTAAATTCCCCTAAATCCTCCTCGCAACTGGTTTACTTTGACGTGTAGTGATATACCCGACATACAATAATAGATTATTTGATATAAAACACCTCTAAAAGCTCATTGCAACGTGTTGGTGTGTAGTGAAAGCAGTGTTAGGAGAGTAGTGATAATACTCTCCACCTAACACTTCAAAAGTATTGAGAGAAGAGGAAGATAACTGGAGCGGATACGTTTAATTTCACCCTCGAAAGATTCCATTCTTTCAACTTTCTATCGAAAATAATCTGGCCTAGCAGTTTCCGCAGCCTGGAGCCATTTAATTCGATTATGACCCGATCTTATATACATGCGATGTAGTTCACGATTCAAAATACTATTGTTGTTTCTGACCCAGAAGCTGATAACTTAGTTAATAACGCAAGATATGTATCATATAACTAGGAAAAAAAGGTAAATGGTCTCTCATTATATAATTAGAAGGAAAATTAAGTGGTGGTTTCTAATGATAAATTGAAGGAAGCCATTCCACGCGAAACGCATCCAAACGTAATTTTGTAAAATCATTTTTCCAACGAAAAATCATTATAAGGATAAATCAGTAGCACCCTCACTGGATCCAATAGAGAATCCTGAAACTTTTTGAGGAAGTGCAGGACGGGGGAAAACCCAAAATGGAGTACAGCTGCGCCCTGCGCACCCCCTAAATCCATCCTAATAATTAATTTATAGGAAAAAAAATTGTTTTTTCTCGATATTACTTCCCACCTCTTCACCAAACTTCATATTAAAAATTAAGAAGATCCAAAATACGTTTATAATTCTAGTTCTTTCATGCCTATGGATACTGAAAAGGTTTTTTGCAAGCTCATTGTGGGCTCAGCCATGTATACAATGAGGACGAACAGCGATGAGGGATAAGATCTATGATTAATTTTTCAAATCTTATCGGAGCCATTATTCTAAATTACGCTGTCTCATACATATACTTAACTCCTAATCCATTTTATTAGAGTTGAACCTCCAATAACGACTAGCCCCACCAGTAACCGAGTGGATAAAAACTACTGAATGCTGGTAGTCGTGGGTTCGCGCTCGCTAATGGGCTAGTCACGTGAAGTTTTCCATGTTTGTAACACGTAAAATAGGAACCAATTTTCCAAATGAAACCAATAACGGCCATTTCTACACAGTGGTTACTATTTTAGGAACTTCTTTCGAACAAAAATGCATATAAACTAACCTCCGAACGACAACCATTTTTAATGTTTCGGTTAGTGGCCGTTGTACAAAGATTTGACTGTATGAAAGTTAATAAGAGAAACCAATTTTTCTATTTTGCTGTCGTCGTTCATCCGCAATAACTTGAAATTGAGATTGATATTTTATTTAATTTTTTGTAACGCGCATTTCTCAATAAATGAGCAATCATTTAGCGGAGTTTTCCCGTTCTCATTTTCTAGATAGGCATTTATATGTGCTATTTATATCTGGCAAAAGGGTGATAAACGATAACAACCGAAGAACCGTGGAAGATGGATCGCGCATAAATATTGTTTTCGTCATCAAGCAAGGTTTCTCTAGCATTTTATCAACTCTTCCTCATTGCCGGATTTAGGGGTGCACAACCGCATATCCCCTTTTGGAAGTTTCAACCGAATAATGCCGGGTACCTCAGATAGTAAAAACTTTTGTAAGGCGTATTGTTTCCTTTCCGCACCCTTCTAAATATTTCTGGATACATCATTGCCTTCTGCCATTAGCATCTGACCGAAAATATAGTAACAGTGCAATTTATAGTTTGGTTTGAAGATCGAATAATTAACTAATCGATAAAGGCATCATCTCCGTGTCTGAAGGACCGGAGTGTGCGAAAAACCCCAGAAAGTTGTTGTGATCGGGCCCTCACCACTTGGCCATTCCAGTTGTGGGCCTGATCGAATCTATGTTTAAAAACGATCTCTTAGTACCCACAGGACGGAGAGAGTTAAAAATGGGAAAAGTAAAGGCCTGACTAGCCGTTCGAATTATTATTTCTTTCTAAAAACTGAAAAATTATGGCGAACAACATTGTAAACTGTGTAGCGACCTAATTGGTATGTGCTATAGTAATAAAATGGTAATTTATGACCCAGAACGAGGAAGTATGACAGTAATTTGGATGTAAAATGTATCAATTGCTGTTACTGCATCACACAGTAGTAATGGCCGAACCAATTCTTTGTTTTCATTTTCATAATAAATCTGAACTTTTTCTTACGAGTTAGTAATTATTTATATTTCCAACATAATTCTGTATTGGCTATTATTTTAGAAATTTCTATACGTATATTCAAACCTCGGTATTACGCTATCATCGTGAAATTCTTTCTGTCAATTACTCTATAATTTACAATTCGATTTTAGATCTAATTAATATATCTAATTCCTATCTCTTGAAATAATTCGGTTTAGCGCCAACATCAGAGGCGTACAAGCGGTGACGCTAAATCAAAGTTTGATTCAATTTACTGATTATTACATTATTACAAAGAATTTGCTGTTTATTTTTGATTTATAACGAAACATTAACATTAAATCCGGACTTTAAAGCGTCAGCCTGCCTCTGTAGGGATCCAGGATTCCATTCAGGATCCCCCAAAGCATGAAAAATACCCGGAGGACCCACCTATAATCCACTCCAAAATGATGTTGGGTGGATACATTTGTTCCCCTACTGTGGGCCGGCCGAATGCACCAAGAGTATGATTTAAAAGGCCCTCTGAATGTCCACAATATGCAGAGAGAGAAATCTCAATATTTTTTTTTTTATCTCGAAAGTTATGAATCATATAAACGATTGATGGAATCATTTAGGAATTCAGAATTCCATCTCGTTATCTGACCCAGGATCCATCCAACCGTAATCCTACCCGGTGTAGTTTATACATAATTACTAAGATAAATAATTGAATCCTGTTTTTATTCTCATGATGTATTCTCGTGATACATCTTAACAAATGATAGATCGTTTCGCAGATTGTCGTAACGATCCATTCTCTTGGATTGGATCCATTCAGGAAAGGAACAATCTTTGTTAATAGGAAAACGTCTTACAAAGTGACGTCTTTGAAAAATTATGTTCCTGATTAATACATGAAAATACTTTATCAGATTTAGGAAGACACGAGTTCATTTTAGCGTAAATTCGATAAGATCCCGTTTTAGCGTTACAAACGCAATGTTCAAACATGCGAAAGAGACAAATTGAAAATTAGTTCGAGCGAAAAAATACACATTTATCACGAAATGTAAACGGATTCGAAAATATTTAAGTAAATTTTAATAAAAATGGGTCCTTCGGATAGTCGTGAAACAAAATGTTAGCCTACTAATCTAAAGGTTTTGGGTTCGAACCAGATCCACTCCTATAATTACGAGCAACACAGTTTAGAACGTTGTTCTCTACTCTTCATCCGTGTCAACTCTATCGAAAACTGTTTTTTCGACTTGGCATCGTGGGCACTAAGAGTCCAAAAGCCCTCTTAGTGCCCACATTATGGATTTAGCCAGGCCCACGATGGGGTAAAAGACTAGGCTGGGTATATCAGGTCTTAGTACTTTTGATGAATTCTGTCAAGTGGAACAACAAATTGAGGATACGATTTTTTATCATTTCATCAGAAATTTAAGTAATCATCAAGTGAAATAATATATAAAATTCCATTAAAATATGTCGAAGATAAGAAGAAATTAATTTGATGACGGAATAGCCAAAGTGGGATGGAAGCTATTAATCTAAACGATCAGAGTTCGAGTTCGAATCGACTTTAAAATATTTATAGTTTAACCTCATCTTTTGGCCATGCGGATGTTCCCATTACGGGCCTGACCGAATCCATTCTAGGGGTTTTTTATACTCTTTCTGCCCTGTGAACCGCATTATAGGTAACTCTTAGTGTCTACAGACGCTGAGGCCTTAGTTGTATGAGATATAGCGGTGTTCAAGTAGGCGTGTTTCGAGGATTTTCTATAGGACACTGGCCCCTTTTAAGTGTTAAAGAGTGAGAAAAACTCAAAAAGTCTACGTGGCCAGGTATTGATCAAGTGCGAACCGAGATCAATTACTAGTGTTCAGTAGTTTTATATAACCACTCGGCCGCTGGTGGACTCGGAGAGGAAGGAATTTACAAAATAAAATGGAAATGAGCGACGATTTATCTATTGAAAAATCTAAAGAAAAAAGTATAGGAATGTTATCTTTCAGAATGAAGAGTTGTCGTACTCGCTCTAAATAACAAATCCTTTCAAACGTAAGTATAAAAATGATTTTGGTACCCACGAAATTAACAGAATAAATTGTGTAGATCCCATCGAAATCTGTTCAGATCAAAAAGTTTCTTAGAAATCGAGGCCATTTACCTTTTTTTGAGACCTCGACGAAATAGAAACGCAATAGAACAAGTAATTTGTAATCGAGTTTTTTTTGGGGGGGCCTCCGTAAATACGAGGCCCGTGCCATATATTTATAGATGCACATATTAATTTTAATGAAAATTTAAGAAATAAAAAGTCGACACAATTAATTAATAGTAAACGACGAAGTCATTTGCACTCGGATTGCCCTCCTTTCCGAATCCTGTTTACTCGCTAGAATTAGGTTAGAGAAAGTAAAATATATATAATAGAAAGTAAGAATTTGTGGGAAAGGAATTGAAATTATTATATACTATTCGAGAATATAGAACAATGATTTTCGACTCGATTTTTACGACATTCCGGGATGTTGCAACGAGCTTCTAGAGGTGTCGTAAGATTCCATGATACCCAATAATTTAAAAAGTTATATAATCAGGTGTCAGGAATGTCGTACACACGGGTTACGGGGTGAAGACTTCGGAGAAAACTCCCGAAAACCATTGTTCTAGAATTAATGGATACGTTTAACCATTAAATTGGTCTTCTTTTTTAAATTAAAATATGTATTGTGATTTGTCTTACCTTTTCTTGATTTCATTTCTACAGGTAGTCTACGTGAAGAACGAATGTCGATAACAAACAGAACAGAAAGGTGTTCCCATGACCGTTTTATACGTTATGTGGGTCGTCATAAATCTTTGGGTTTGCGCAAGAAGATAACAATCAAAATTCTTAATTTTATTTCGTAACTTTCTCTTCCACATTTATAATTTTCTTCGTGTTACTTCTCATTATATCCTTCGCGAGATACGAGAAATGTTTAATTTTTCGTCACTAATTAGTGGCGGATTAAAATCTTCTGGGCCCCCTCTACCTAATTTTATGACATTCTAAATTAATAAGGTCGAATTGTACGTATAGAACTGTTTATAAATTATGATAATATAATTGCAACGGTAAAATTACCTTTTCCCCCCAATTTCGGAGCCACAAGTTTGACTGGTGCCTCCAAATTCGGGTCAAACACCCAAGGAATTTTTCGGGGGCGGTCTGTCCCGGATGTCGAGCCTAGTCTTTTCTCGTGAGCCGAGCCAAGACCAAGATGAGTATGTTATAAAAGCCTTCTTAGCGCCCACAAAGTGGAAAGAGAAAGAGGCAGAGGAAAAAATGGCTCCCCTCATTCGAAGGAAATTTGGTCTATAATGATAAATTTCCATAAAATAGTTTCTCGTATGCAGTCGAATCTCCATTAATGGCCACTACTAAACATCGGCCATTTCCTCACGAACTTCTTTCAAACAAAAATGCATACAGGATAACCATCAAACAAATGCCACTTCCGATTAAAGCCATTTCTTATAATCCCGTCAGAGGCCGTTGTTCACAGGTTCGACTGTACTTTAAGTAGCTTCGTATCCGAAATATGGGAAGAGAATAAAATGTTTAAACGAGTGTCTTCGTATGCACAAACCTCGACCATGGACAAAGCTGAAACCTGTCTAATCCGAGACTATCCCCGTAAAGTTACGATGAGCAAGAAATCGGGGTCTTCCAGGCTCGGTACTAGCTGACCTCGCCACGCTCTACTCGCCCTTTTGTTTTTTCACTCGAATTTCTGTACTTCGACATTTTTTATACGCGTCACGTCAAAATACTTGCGGATATTTTTACGTTTGAATGGTTTCTAGAGAAATTAATTTTGTTTTAAGTGTTTGTATAATGACGAATTTGAGTAACACCATACACAATAATTTGTATGGCACCTATTAGGCAAAACAATTAAAAATCAGCAACTTCTTCTTCTATGTAAACTTTGAGATCACCTCGAAAATGGTTGATTTTAATTTAGAATTCTAGTTTTTATTCACCAGTGTCTTGGGTGCTTTTCTTTGGACGAGCGCGTGGTTTACTGAATAATAGGGATCAATTTCTCTACAAAAGTCCTCCCGGGATGAATTCTCCTTGACACATACGGCAGCGCAACACGTGGACTATTCCACCAAACCCGAACATAATCCATCTTACACACCACACAAGGTGTCATAATCAGATTTGGTGGGATATGGCAATGCAACACGTGAATACCTGCCAGGAGGGGATATCTCCCGGGAGGTTTCAAGTATTATATTCGTGGAATAATTAACACTAGACCCAAGTTTTAGAAATGCCGGCCAGACCTTGGCACAACTCTGAGCACCTAGCCTCGAGTTCCGCGAGTGGCAACGGCGAGACCATTCACCGAACTAATTTGTAATACGTAACGCTTCCAATAAATTGGTGTTGCTACTTATGTAACTCGTGCTTAGGCACCGTGGCACAATATAACAGATCTACCGGATGCTAAATTTCCAATTATTTTACGTCAATTATTCTGATGAAACGAAAAAATACTTACATTCGGTACGCCTGAAACGATGACAAACGTATGAAGACGGAGACAATATGCGAGCGTCTTCTTAGGGTTTACAAAAACAAATAAACCAGCAACAAGTTGCTCAACTTTCCCGGCATTATTTAAAATTTTGGTGGTGCCATCTGTTACCATATTTTATTTAAAAGACTTCATACTTTTTAACTATCTCAAAACGGCAAAAAGCTTAATTTTGAAGGTAGGAACAGGTTTTATAAAAATTTGTAAATGCTTATAACGAGTAAAATCGTCGTTAAGTCCGAACCAACTGGAGATACACACGACCCCCTTTAACTCCCAACCCCATCGGCCTTTTAATTACCAAAATGTACAAGCATCGATCCCGATAAACAAACCTCCCTGCAAATTTCAGAAAATTTCGACAAAATGCATAGGGATTATTAACTTCTGAGCTGTAACTTGCTCACCTTGTACAGTACATTCGGCCCTGTACACCAAAATATTCGGTACTCGGATATTTCACGGACTCGAACCCCCAAGTGACAAATTACCTTCAATTCCTGTAACGAATAAAAGCGAAATTTTCCTTCACCATACATTTATTTACGCATTAATTAATACATTTATATCAAGAAGAGTATTAAAAAAAATTAACGTACACATTCAACAGAATATCTCATTTGAAAGCTACACGATCTTCGTCTTATTTTCTGCAAACAACTGGTTTAACGGCAACTGACATGGGAAAAAAAAATCATCGTAAAGGCTACGCTCTTGGTGATTACTTTGGAATCTTCATGAAGATTGCATCCTTAATTTCGCTTCCTTCAGGAGGCCCTTCAGATAGGATATTTCGTTAGAGAGCTGCTGGACTCGACTTTTCAATTCCTGATTACGTTCGGCCAAAACGGTTTCTTCGGTTTTAATTGCCATGGATTCTTTGCGTTTCTTCTGGCGATACCGAGTGGCAGCGTCTTTGTTCTGTTTGCGCTTACGTTCCCGCCGAAATTCGCCCGCGGGAGGACCACGGTTAGTAACCGATCGTTTGTGATTTTGTGATCTGGCTTTGGTCTTGTGACCGACTTCCGGTATTTCGGATTCTTCTAACATTGCATTGTTCTCGTGCGAATCGAAACGAAAATGAACACCCTCTGCTGCGTGTGCTAAATCTGTGTTGGATGAACTACATTGTGCCTCTATTTTATCGTACGAATCTTTAGAATCTACGGAATCTAATGTTTCCAAACTAGAAACGGATACACTGGGCGATAACTGCGAATCGTTAAAATTGGGTGATAATGTGGGAACATCTAGAGAATTTGCTTCTCCTTTTAAATACGATGCTAAATGATCGATTTCTTCGACTATCTCTTTTGCGGGAGATGGATTTTCGGGAGAAACCGATTTATAAAATGATTCCTGCTGATATTCCGGAGACAATGCAAAACTGTTGTCGGGAACTCTACCTCCGGGCGAGTCCGGAGTGGCCGCAAACTCCGACGCCTCTTTGGTCGGGCCATCGTTCTTCTCGGATTTAAAATTCAAAACTTCTAAATCGCTTTCCAGTATATCCGATGGAGCGCCCATCATGATTTCCAGAATGGTAGCTGGGTCTTCAATCATCACATCTAGATCATCCAGAAGACCCGACTGACTTTCTAGATGCATGGTGGACAAGTCCATCTTTTCATCCATCCACTTCGCAAACACGTCTAAAAGTACAAAAAGAAATTTCCAATCAAAAACATTTCACTTAATTTATACATTACTTTTTCTACATCATGGCATAAAAAATTTTTTAAAATTTATTTAGTGCAAAGAATTGAGTTATTGTAATGAGACCGACTGAATGTCAATTTGCAATTTACTTTTGCAAACGTGCAAATTGTTATTCATATTGTTTCATAGTTACCGCTTAAAACTCATCTAAAACACATTTGGTCGTCTTAGTTTTCGGATTGCAATTTTGAACGGCCATTATAAAATTTCAAACCAGTTTTTAATATGTAATGTATACAAAAATAACATAATAAAGAATTCCACCAATAATACTGCACCATCTTATATAAATTACAAGCAGACTGTACAATTAAAAAATGAAAATGTTACCACTGCATTAATGTAACACATTTGTCTAGTCTCTTATCATAAAAAAAAATTGCCCATCAGTGGTTCACAGATAGGCTATATGGAATTTTCTGGAGTAAGACCAATTTCTCAGAATTCCTCTCTGGGAGAAATCACATGTCGCATTGTTGCATTATACCATTCTCCCAATTTCAAACAACTTATTTCTCAAACTACAGACACTGGCAAATCTGACTGACATACATTTGGTGTATCTCTTATACATAAGCCTTTTAGGATAATGGAATAAACAAAATATTTGTGACTCGCCTACTCACGACATACAATATACTTAATTTGACCATCGATCAAAAAGCTTGGGCTATTACCAAACTATACTATTAGTAACCTGGCAACAATGCGAAAAAAGATCTTATTAAACTTATTATTTTTTTTTTATCTAACAGATTGTGTTATATGTTAATAAAAGGATATTTTTGAATGTTCTAAATGACAGAAATTACTCTCATTAAACTTTTATTACAATAAGATATACTTATAAACAATAAGCAGTCTTAAATATTTTCCTCTTAAATAACAATAGCCAAAGAAATATGTTATTTTCTCTATTATTTCGTTCATTATTGTGTCATTGTCAATTAGATAATGATCTCTGTCGACAGTCAGAGGAAGTTCAGTGATTAATGATTACTTTTTGAAAACAGTTTCATTTTCCTTATGTCAAGATAAATCTGGTAAAAATTTACAAGTTCATACTCAATACTCATTAATGGTTATGAACAACCATTAATACTTACATTAAATTTGACCAGATCCAAAGATATTTCTATCCTACGCTGACTAGGATTTATTACTATTTTACTGGTCGGTTTCGTCAACCTGGGATAAAATTTAACAGAGAGAGAGAGAGCATTAAACCTGTTTAATAGCCAGAAGTGTTTTGTCAAACTTCTTTAATGCTAATCAAATATTAAACTGACTTATTTTTAAAATCTAATTTTGAGTTATTAAAGTTTTTAACAGCTTCTTGAAAGTTAAAATTGAGATGGCAGATTTATAGGGAGTTTAATGAAGAATTGTCGTATATTAGATACGATAAAAATATTGGACTCTTAATGACATGTTTCTTAAAATCAAGAGTGAATTTTCTTTTCATCTAACTGTTATACAATCACCTCATATATTTTCATTTTTGAATAAAGTCAGCAAAAAACTCATCTCTACATTTGCGCAGTCGAAACTTAGATTTTACTGAATAAATGTACCACTTCAAACACAAGTAAAAATATGAAGCATCAGTTTTCCATAAAACTTTTTAAAGAAAAAATAGACAATTAAAATCATATCTATTTTTGAAAAATAAATGAACTAAAACCACTTAATATCGTTATTTGCTATTATAATAAAATACTCTTCATAAATTAAATTATATAGAAAAATAGTGGTGCTAAAAAAAAACAAATTTTCAAGGAATCTGATGGATTGTTTTTATTTATGAGTGAAACATTTTTTAGGATATTAATTACCATCCAGCTCCAGAAAAATGCTGTTCTAATCTGTACAAGGATAAAATTTGATGATGGATGCTAACATCCCAAAAAGACATTTAATTTGCAAATTAAAAAAAATCCAGCAATGAGAGTTGCATAACTTTTCCAGCTATTATGAGTTTTAATTAAAAAAATCTTTTATATTATGCAAAAATAAAATTGTGTGGCACCATCTGTTATCAGAATTTGTTATAAAACTTTTTATATTTTTAATTACTATAAAATTGAAAAAAGTTAAGTTTGAGGGTACGGGCAAGTTTTATAAAAAATGTAAATGTTAATAACAAAAATCTTGATTAAGTCCTACTCCTCTCAAGATACATGCACCCTCTCTCCACCCTCTTGACCTTTCATCACCAAAACTTAATAGTATCAATAGCCCTCGTATACAAGCCACTGTGCCAAATTTAGTTTCTTAATCTTAACCCCATCCTGAGATATTAAGTGAAATAGATGCCAACAAAGACGCAAGAAATTTTTTGCTGGGTTTTTTGACCGTTTTGAATTTGGGAGGTTTCAAAACATGGAGATTTGCAAAAAACTCAGAGGGTCAAATTTAACATGATTCCAATACTTTGTTATGTATACATAAGCCAGGAAAGTAAAATGTATTGGAACTCCTTGAAAATTTTTGTTTAGCACCAGTATTTTTCTGTTTATTATTGAATTTTAAACTTAATGTATGGTTATGATTAATAAGAAAGCAAGATTTATCCTCAATCAGAAACTGATTTCATAATTTTATTAATATGATAAATTATTAATTAAAACCACAAAGAAAGCAGCATTAATTTTTGTTATATTTTCTCATTTTAAGACATTTTGTTTTTACTTGTCCAAAACAGAGATGCATCTTATAATTGATGGCACCTTATATTTATAGTCCAAAACAACAGGCACTTGTTGCAAGTAACCTTGTGGTGTGTTTGAACCAGTAATAAATGCTTTTGGTTTACATTCAATGTTTTGCAAAAATTGCATTGTTTCTTTTTACAATTTTTTGAAAATAACCAAAATTGCAGTCTGCATAGGTATTCAAAGGAGTTTGGTCCTAGCTAGTAAGTTAAAAATTCCATACCTTAAGTATTAAGATTTGGAATTCATAACTGAATAAAAATTTAAAAAATATTAAAATCTAAATTTTTTCAAGATTACTTTTGAATTTTGTTTGTTTACATAAGAGTTGAGTTTCTCAATTAAAACTTGACATATGTGTGTTTGTAGTTTCACGTCTGAATTTGTTAAGTAATTTTTAAATTTATTCTTACAGACAAACTTTACCAACCTGATTTTGCATCATTGTTGTTTCCATCCACTAAGTCGGATGTTAACAATTCATCCAGAGAACTGCTAAAATCAAAGATGCCGTCGTTGTTGTTGACAGAATTCGCCCAAAGCCCCCACCTCTCCCAATCTGAATCCAATATTTTGCAAGATTCCATTCTTCTTCTCGTTGACGATGCCGAATGATAAACGTGAATAAATATCTGCCAATGGAGCGGCAGGAAAAAGGAAAACTGGAGACACTCCAAAAAACCTAATGTAAAATATACAAGATTTAATTACATAAAACTAAATTATAAATCAGTTTAGTAATTAAAATAATTATGACTACTAGGCTTTACTTTGAAAAAGGTAGTAACTCAAATTTTTTGGCTCCCTGATATATCAAGCAACCAAAAAGTATGATTTTTAAGTGTAAAATCAAGCTGAGATGTATAAGTGAATAAAAATATTTTATTCAGGAAAGCAAGCACTCTCACAATTTATAATCGTTTCCCAATGTTATATACAAGTTTGTAAATACCAATATGCTAAAATGCAAATCTTTAGAAGCTAAGAAACATTTCAACTCCATTCTGTTTCAAAATTATCAGCTGCACATATGATTACTCAGCGAAAATAATGGTAGTCAGATGGTGCGATGCCTGATTAAATATGGAAAATAAGTAAATTTTCCAAAACAAAGTTTTGGAGTTTAGACTTTGAGATCTTGCTCTCACATAGCATAAGTGTCCTAAAGAGGATAAAATCTCTGACAAACAAGTACTGGCTACTTCTGAAGCTGTGCAGAGATTTCTGAAGTGATTGACCAATGGTTATAAACTCAAATGATATTATCAGCTGTAACCTAGACACAATAAAATTTTCTGTTTGTGGATTCTGGGCTTGTTTTTGCAAATGATATAAATGCTCAGTGTTCCTATTCATTTTTCATCACATCCAACTCATTCCAAAAGTGTGAAAATAATATGCTCAGTATCCAGATTTCTCTTGGTAATCAAATGATTTCTGTCGCTTACACAAAACCTTTCTGTACACTTGTGGTTTCAATCAAATAACATTGGAAAAGTGATAAAACTTATTTGTTTACTTGATCTTTTATATCAAGTAAACAAATAAGTTTTAAGATTTAGATCAAGTAAACAAATGGATATTATTTGTCATTAATGGAAGCTTTGAAAAAGCATCCATTAATGGCAAATAATAGCTATGTGCCAATTTTAAAATAAAAGATACTTTAAGATGAAATTTCAAATTTAAATCCTCTATGAATTTTTTAACACTTCATTCTGGTACCAATTCTCCAACAATAAGCTTTTCAATTTAAGATTTATCATCATTTATAATTTTGAATATAGACAATTGAACAAACTTACATATTAATATTAAATTTAAGAGAGTTTTTGAATTTTTTATTCCATTAGAGCTGGATTTAGACTTGCTGTGGTCCTAAGTTATAATACACAAGATTTTGGAATATGTTTCTATGACTGTATTTTAACAGAATAACACCTAAACACAAATTTCCATTAAACAAATAGACAATTGTTTGTTTGTTTGCTGGAAATTTGTGATTAGGTGTTATTCTGTTGAATTGTAGTTCCAATTTGTGTGCACAGTTTGTTTTTGACTATTTTAGATTAACTTAAGGATATTTATTTTATAATCTTTTTAGCTTTCACTAAAATTTATGTACTAACAAAAATGCAATTTCTTATATTATAAATATATATTTTCTATTAAAAAAACTTTTTATTGAACATATTTCTGGATACAAACAATTGCTTTTATTTGAATGTTTTGATAACATGGTACCGAAAATACCCCTTTCATATGTATTTATCATTATTATTATTCTAACAACTTTCTCAAATCAATTTTGTGTACTGGATTTGTAAGATTTTCCTTTATCCTTTGAGTCAAGCCCAAGTTCAATTACTTTAATTTTTTCTTTTTAAAACAACTCTTTTCAGAGAGATCTTGGAGAGAACCACTCATCTTTTTTTAAGGGGAGAACTAATCATTCTTTATTATTCTGTATCAATAAAGCGATCGAAAAGTTTCATCTTTTTGGATAATGCACTTAATGAGGATTTTCTTTTTATACAAATTATACACAGCAGAGGTCTTTCATGATAATATATTACTTATGTTAATGATCTATTCAGAAATTCATCAATACGCTTCATTGACTGTATTCGGCACAAGGTATTCCGAGTCAGTAGTTATTTGGACTTCTAAATAAAGATTATTTACTGCCATCTAAAGCACAATTTGTGTAATTTGCATAGAAATTAAATATAGTGTTAAAAGGTAGTTTGAATACTTGTTGTCTCACAAGTTCGGACATACGGAATTTTTAAAAACATCATTTTGTGGGGTCACATGTTAATCAAAACATCCAGTTTTCTTTTTCCTTCCTTTTCCTCCCTTATACCAAATTATAGTTGCTTCCAAACTTACAAGCAACATAGCAGACCTTGTCATTTGTTGTTGCTTTATTAAAAATTATGACTTGATCATTTTACCAGATAATTTCTGTTTATTATATGACCATTTATAATATTTCTTTACCTCAACTTACTATTGTTATTTATTGTTTTGAAGCAAGTAAATCTATAATATCAGTATAAACAATTTCAAATAAATCTACTTAAATCTGACGAAAATTTTGCATATAACTAGATTAATTACAAGCAGAATGACAAGCATATTCAAGCCAACTATACAGCTCGTGTAAATGTGACAAAAATGTAATCGGATAGCAACTAAATAGGACTCTGTGTTCATTGTGTGTTCCATATCCTGAAATGTAACCAAATCCTCTTCAAAGAATATCAGGAATTCTAGAGATGTAACATAGAAAGCAAGAATTTTTTTCCATAAAATATATCTTTGTAATATAAAACAATAAAGATACTAGTTTAATGAAAATATCTGGCTCCTATTTGTCAATCCAAAATAACTGGTCAAAAATGACAAACTCATAGTTATGTCCCATTAAGCAAAATCTCATACAGGTTATTTGTAATTTGAGAAAACTTTTCAATGAGGAAGTGTCCATTTCTTCACATTAATCTTTTTAAAGTTCTTTATACAAATTTTGAATTCTGTTGGATTAATATCAACATAAGATTTTTATCTTGAATCGAAGCATTGATAAAAATCCAGCAAAGAGTTGAATAACTTCCCTGGCAAAAAAAATTTTAAATTGTAGTGGTGCCATCTGTTATATTTTATTAAAAATCTTTTTATATTATTAATCATAATAAAATGGCAAAATCTTGATTTTGAGGACATATAAGTTTTATAAAATATTGTAAATGATGATAATGAGTAAAATCTTCATTAAGTCTGGTCCCACTTGAGATACAACATATGATCCTCTATCTCCCCATCCCTCAAGCTTTAACCACCAAAATTTAATGGCATCAATCCCCCTAATACTCAAACATACCTGCAAAATTTCAGAAAATTTTGACAAAAGGCATAGGAGTTATTAAGCTTCAAAGTGGGTAAACAAAATCGTCTCCCCATACTAACACCATTACATATAGAAAAAAAATCCCCAAATTTTTTTGCACTGTGATGTTTCAAGGTTCCAGAGTCCAAAAGTGTAAAAATCTCGGATGTTGTTTTTTGACTGATTGCCATACCTTTTCTGTTGTTATATATAACAGCTGGAAAAGTAAATATTTTCCTAATGAACAAGGAAACAAAAGCTGTATTTACAAACATTAATAAAGTTCAGTACTCAAATTTCAAACTTTTATCTTATTACTTTTTAAAATAATTAAACACTACCACAGGGGTTCACTTTAATAAATACTACCTTTTGTTTGTTTATACAGAAAATTATGAAATTTCCTAACTATTTTTTAAAAAACAAAACTATAAATATTTTAGCATTTCAGAAATGTTTTACTGTAAAAATAACTAGCAAATGTCAGCAAATAAAGTTGAACTTTGTGCTAGTTTCCCATTAGTTTGCTAATTTTACAGTTATTTCCTGTAAAGTACACAATCTAATGACCATTTGATTCCTTAGAAATGCAAAGCCTCCAACCTATGTAATTGCTCCATTTCTAAATAATAAACAAAGGCTTTAAAGAAATAATGTTGTAATTAAATACTTAAATTTTAATTATTATCCAACTTTAAATTAACAGAGTTCAAATTTAATAGAAAAAGAAAAAATTTTTAACACTGGTAAATAGAGCAATCTAAAAGGTTGGGTCAATCAGTCAGTATTGTTGGCATAAACACTTTGTTAGTTACATTGTGTAGTTTTATTGATATGTTTATTTGAACTTTAATTCCTGTATTAAATCTATATTTTAGAAATGTTTTAATGGAGTGTATAAATTACTCAATGTACCTTACATAATATTTTATTCATACCTACAAGCTGTAACAACATTTTATTACATAACGCAAGTTCGTTATTAATGTATATTTGAAAATACATTTTAAAATACAGTGACAGACATAACTTTTCCCAATTATCAATACACAATGGTCCTGGACAATTAAATTGAAAACCTACTGTGTAAAATATTAAATACACCTCTCTCTATTTAAAGAAAATAGTTGAAGAAATACAGAAATTCAATCTTCCGTCCACGTCACGCCTTGAAAACAAATGGGATTATGACAAAACACGAATCATTTTCTTGAAAAAATTTTGTTTTTTTAAATATAATTGTCGTCCTGGCTTTTTTATTAATGTTTGTCTTTAATGTGTATATAATAACGTTGCATATTGTCATAAAATTTTAAACCTATTTTGAGAGCATTACACATCATTTGGAAGCTGTTGAATCTGAAGACAGAAAAACCAAAATGTCATCAATTTTACAATTTTAACTTGCCTAATCAAAATTTCCCTTATTAAAAATCGATCTCTTATCTAGTTAATGCAAAAACAGAAATGGAGGAAATGTATTTACATTTTTAGAGCAGAGTTACACACTCAAAAATGTAAATATAGATTATTATGTTTGTTTTGTAATTACTGTGCAAATTCAATATTTATCTGGATAGTTACATTACAGTTAGATAAGCACTTTCTTTATCAATTAAGATTGATATAAGCAAATCATGATTATCACAAACTGATATATTGTCATTAATATATATGTGTCAATAAACATAATATACTTCTTGGTAATACTGTAGAAATGTAAGATTACTAATTATAAAATGAAAATAAGCCACAAAGAAAATGTTCTTAGTTAATTTTGCTCCTACATATTATTCCTACTCTTTATTTATCATAATTTTTAATCTCAATCCCTTAAACAATGGCTCTTGACAAAAATTATCTTTTGCAGTAGACATAGAAGAATAGTTTTCTAAAAAAAAACAGGCAATCCAACCTTTTCTGTTGCCTTCACCCTTTGAATTTTTAAAATGCACCTTTGCACCTCCATAAAAATAAGCTACTTTAAAGTATTATTTTAGAAGTAATAAAATATAAGATTTCTTTAATAAAATAAAGCTCTCTTATATTCTAAGTCTAAGCTTGGCTTTGACTGGCGGTTCCAAAACCACGGGCCACCGACTCTCGCGAGTCTGCAAGTACNGAAAAATGCGCTGACGTCACTGAAAAATTTGCAAATAATTTGTAGTTTATTAATTAACTACCACAACCAAATCTGCCAAAGCATGTCTTTTGTAAGAGGGTCAGCAACTTTTCAAAGTTTTGGAACCACCGATCCAAGCTATTAAGAAAAAGTCATCTGTATTCATTCACCAATATAAAACATTTAGGTCTAGGTTAGTAATTTGCAATAGAGAACAAAAACATTTTTATTAACATCTCATTTTAAAAGACAATCTGTTCAAAATAAAAAAAACAAAACAAACACAAATTTCTTTAAACTTTATATTCTGAAAGAATGTTCCCTCATAGAAGTCCCGTATCCTAGATGCATACTAATCCCCACATTAGTATATCAAGAAGAATTAATTAAATGTAGGCCTAGCTATTAGATTTTATCAACTTTTTTTTTCTTCATATTGAAATCATAATGTACAATTTAACAAACATTGTCAAAAATTTTATACTCTCTTAAAGCAGACACCATAAATCAGTTATTTTCTACCAAAATACTTGATTAACCTGAAATACTCTGTTTATATTCTACTGCTACGACTACCAAACAAACTAGAAATTAATTAAACAGACCATTCCAGTTTTGACTTTATTATTATTTTTTTCACTTTCTACAGTTTCATTTCAATGTTAAATATAGATATTCAAATAACGCAATATTATCCATTTTTTAACTTTAACGTAAAAAAAAAGCATTCCTGTCTCTTTAATTAATAACATTAAATAGATAGAGCCTTATTTTGCCAACTGACCAATAAATTTTTAAGCTTTATTTTCTATTTATAATTCTATAATCTTTAAATAAACAAGGAAATATTTATAATATGGTGGAACTAAATTCTTCAGCGGTAGTTTGCTCAAAAATGTAAATATAGATTATTATGATTATTATGTTTGTTTTGTAATTACTGTGCAAATTAAATATTTATCTGGATAGTTACATTACAGTTAGATAAGCAGTTTCTTTATCAATTAAGATTGATATAAGCAAATCATGATTATCACAAACTGATATATTGTCATTAATATATATGTGTCAATAAACATAATATACTTCTTGGTAATACTGTAGAAATGTAANTTATTTTGCCAACTGACCAATAAATTTTTAAGCTTTATTTTCTATTTATAATTCTATAATCTTTAAATAAACAAGGAAATATTTATAATATGGTGGAACTAAATTCTTCAGCGGTAGTTTGCTCGACCCCATTTGGAACTGCCATAACTGCAATGGAACCATTTACATCACAAAGTCCCAATTCGAGTTTCTTTCTCTAGGTATTCCCTTTCGCACGCCAACACTCTTCCCGTCATTTCGGTAAACAGTGACAAGTCTGCATAATGGAAGTATTTGGCCGGCTTTGGAGATGTCACGACAAACTCTCCGACTCTGACACTCTAGGTGACTTTCTCGTCGCCCGAGACTTGCCTCTGATGGATGATGACCACAATGCAACAAATCCGGACGGCAGGGCGGGCAATCCAAAATTTCCCGACGGTCTGTTGACTGTCTCCGTTGCACACCAATACTGGCCAAAAGACATCTATTCTGCAGATGCACGTTACCAAAACAAAGGGGAAAACGTTGGCAGACGAAGGGGTAGTAACCTAGAAAAACATACAAATTGGGACCATGCAACATTTAGAGTTGCACGGCTATTACCGCAATTCTCTTCATACAGACAACAGTAGAAGCTACTTTTAGTTCATCAGATTATCAGCCTATACGTTTATACACGGACAAGATACCAAAAGTATGTAAGCTGTTCTTTTTTCAACCTCTGATGGTCCGTAAAACAAAGACAAGCATAAATAACAAAATGAATTTATTACCAAAACTTACGTACAAACATGATTACTTTTCGACATAATCACCGTGAAGATCGAGGCATTGACGTATCCGTGCGCAAGCATTGCAATCCCCTCTTCGTAGAACGTTGCCGCCAGTGATTCGAGACGGCATTAACATTGTTTTGAAGATAATTATTAGTCTCGAACCTCTGCCCTCCTAGCAATGTTTTCAGTTCAAGAAAGAGATGGAAGTCTTCACATATTAAAGGTGTAAAAACTTCAACCCAGCTTGGAACTTTTTAAACACCCAGCGTATAGCCCCAATTTAGTGCCGAGCGACTTCCTTTCCCAAACTGAAAACGTTACTACGAGGCAGAGGTTCGAGACTAATGACGATCTTCAAAAAAAACCATTAATGCCGTCTCAAATCACCGGCGGCAACGTTCTACGAAGAGGGAATTGCAATGCTTGCCCACGAATACGTCAATGCCTCGATCTTCACGGCGATTATGTCGAAAAGTAATCACGTTTGTACCTAACTTTTGGTAATAAACTCACTTTGTTATTTACACTTGTCTTTGTTTTATGGACCGTCGGAGATTGAAAAAAACAGCCTACATAACTGGAATTTAACCCAACTTACCTAAGGGTAAGTTCTGCCAATCCTTCATGTTTACAACCTCGTGGAGCTAAAAACTTGGAAATTTCTTAAATATTACATTAAAAAATGGCGGATTTTTACGAATTAATCGTCAATTTAGAGATATTTTATAAAATTTTTAAAAACTCGACAGAATAATTTTCGAGCTTATTCGTTGCCATTCGCTCTACGAAATCGTTCTATACAAATTTAACCATTCCTAAGTGCATTTAAACACGTCCAGATACTAAAAAAGAGCAATTTATATGCGCAATTTTCAGCGACTTCCGCCATTGCTCCGATAGAAAGGAATAAAAATGAATTAATTTAAGAAATACTTACGCCATTGTAACTTGTTGTAGTTGTGCGTTGCACCGTAAGGTGCTTCGCCGTGTAAAAAACTATTGTTTCATTTTGTTTTTCTCTATCCTAGCAGCTAAAAGATTTCTCGCTAGTTTCGATATGGCGGACATTGAGAAAGAGAATGAAGTCCCACCGCCGACGTCGTCATGGATACGGAAAAATGCGCTGACGTCACTGAAAAATTTGCAAATAATACTAATTAAATACGCTTAACTAAATTATTATATTCTTTAAAATATCCACTTTATATATGATTATAACGCGTGTAAATATTAAACAAACTGGATTTAAGTTATTTAAACTTAAGAAATATATATAAATATTTTTTGTCGCGGAGTAATTCGACCGAATCTTATCTTCGATTGCATCAGCCAAAGAGAAGGCGCTGACGTCATTTTTTGGTGTTTACGTAACACCGGTTAAAAATTTGAAATCTTACAAAGGGTCGATGCGAGAAAAATTTCCTTCTAGTGTTTTCGAATGTAAAAAAAAAAATATATGCTGGAATTTTCGTTTTAACCGGTTTTTACGTAAATATATTGTAAATAATTGTTTATTTCTATAAAATTAGGGCATTAATCGAGAGAAAATTACGAAATTTTAATTTAAAAACAAACAAAATTTTCTGTTTATCGAACTCGAATGTTGAGTAGCGTGTTGAGGAATTTCCTTGCAGTTCTGCCTTCTAAAAACACCAAAATGACTCATCGTCATCGTCATTTCGATAGGTAACAAGTGTCAACGCGCGCGATAATTTTATTTATTATGATTAATTTTCCTTGTAACAATACAATTTGCTATTCTAAATACTAATATAACATTTTAATAACGAGATTTTCTGTTTTGATCTGTGGTATAAGCAGAACCGGTCCTACCATAGGGCGAACGGAGCAGCCGCTCCAGGCGCTAAGTCCTAGGGGGCGCCTCGGTGGTAAAGAAATTAAAGGGTATAAATCAGGGGCAACCCAGGGGGCGCCATAATAGGATCTCGCTCCATCCTAAAACTTGCCTGGGGCCGGCACTGGGTATAAGAATAGATTACGTGTCTGCATCCGAAATAGTATAATTGGGTGATCTGTACGCAGATCAGGAGCTTTTCTAGCGAAAGTTCCTCCTAGATAAGACCCCCAAAACCATTGATTTTGTTACTTTAAAATAAAAATAAATATAATAATGCAAATCGCGTGATTTCAATTATATAAGAGTAGATAACTAAAGTAATTCAAAAGTTGATTAGGGTGCCGTAGAGGCACCCTAATCTGCTTCGAGCAGCACCCATATTCTGAAAAATCCCGCATATGCCACCGACACATCATTTAAGAACTGTCATCAAATACAAGAGAATGATTGGATTGATGAAATAAGACAATCGATACAGGGGCGATCTTCCAAGGGGATGCCGACAGGGAAGACTTTCTACGAGGAACTGGCTCCTACTTAGGTATTTAACTGCTTTCAGGGGAAGTTATGAATTGAAATAACGTATACTGTATACTATTTTTTTTTTTCAAATTGCAGCCCAATAAAGTTTAAAAGATTTACTTTTTTTTATATAAAGGTGTTAGGAATAGCTAACGCCTTATCATTTGTATTCATTATTAGTAAAGAGAAAAATAATAACGCAACTATTGTATTTATATTATTGTATTGTTATATCGAATCTATATTGTTAGAGGCGTTTATTATCGAAGTATACCGAATAGAAAAATCAAGATAGAGAGAAATCCTTGTAAAACAACGTTTCGGAATGAACATAGACATCGACAAACTCATATACCAACTGTTAGAAGTTCGTTACCAACCGGGAAAATTAGTACAATTACCAGAAGAGGAAATTATCCAATTGTGTCGGATCACCAGGGAAATATTCCTTAGCCAACCCATCCTTTTAGAACTCGGAACTCCCATTAACATATGCGGAGACATTCACGGACAGTACGAAGATCTCTTGAGACTCTTTTCGGTGGGAGGTTTTCCCTCCGAAAGTAACTATCTGTTCCTCGGAGACTACGTGGATAGGGGAAAACAATCGACCGAAACCATTTGTCTACTGTTCGCTTATAAAGTGAAGTATCCCGAGAGGTTCTTCCTGTTGAGGGGGAATCACGAAACGGCCAACATCAGCAGAGTTTACGGATTTTACGACGAATGCAAGATACGTTATAGCGTTAAACTATGGAAGGAGTTCGTGAAGTCTTTCGATACTCTTCCTCTGGTGGCCATAGTTCGTCAGAAGATATTTTGCTGTCACGGGGGATTGAGTCCGGAATTATATTCGTTACAGCAAATTCGGGAGCTGTCTCGACCCATATCTTACACGGGATCGGGAATAGTTCGAGATCTTCTGTGGGCCGATCCGGACGGAATGATAGACGGGTGGAGCCACAACGAACGAGGGATTTCTGTCACTTTCGGAGAGGATATGGTGGAGGAATTCACAGAGGCACACGGTCTGGACTTGATCTGCAGAGCTCACCAAGTGGTGGAAGACGGTTACGAATTCTTTGCCAGACGCAAATTGGTCACCCTCTTCTCTGCACCCCGATACTGCGGAGAATTCGATAACGCAGGTGCCATGATGTGCGTCGATAAATCCTTAACTTGCACGTTTCGAATCATACGTTAAACCCGAAATCGCTATCGAAGAACGAATAAAGAGAAACGAATAATTCTAGTCACTAATTAAAATCTGATCGGCGATCGATTAAATATACTGTTGTAGACATTCGGATAAAAATTGAATTGTTAAAATTATCAATTATCTTATTTTTATTATATAAAAGATAGAATGATGAGAGAAATAGATGATGGTGATGATTTCCCTCATCATCTCTACTTCTGATTATCGTTATTTCTATCGCACCTCGGCCCACCTTTGAACACGTAGTGGAGTTCTCCGATTTTCTTCACGTATATAACACGTAAATAATTCTCTTTGTGGCACCCCTTTGGCGGATCGTCCATGTGATGCGTTTTATCCCATCATTCCGGCTCGCCTTATATAATAGATACAGTACAGTACTTTTAACTGTACCCAACACACTTAAGTTATTTACATAGATTAAATTCATTCGTCTCGCCCTCTCTTTCTTCCCTTCTAGAAAAATTTGATAGGAAAACCACATTTCCCCCTATCGAATCTCTCTGTGCTGTACGTTATCAGAGAGAACCTCCAGGGGTCATGACCTTTCCTGGAAGATACACCAGAATCAAAGCCTGTAGGAAGTTCTCCTGTGGATAAGCAAATCAAGACACAAATGTCTAAAGTAATCCGTCATTATCTCTTCCCGTGATCGTTTCACAATTGCTTCTCGCGAAACTGTAATCACGTGTTTCCCACATTGTGTTTTAATTTCTATTTGCTGTCGTTTCAATTGGACTTTATCTAACGTTAAACTAAGTTTTTCTGTTTCTAATGATCATTTTCTTGGCTTTAATTATGAAAAATATGAATTAAATTTCTGTTCGAGTAATTTATGGCAGTGTTTTTCTCTCTCTCTCTCTCTAGCCAAGAACTCCACTCGGGAGAATAAGCAAAAGATAAGAAATAATTGATTTTTGTACTGACGAATGCTACATTTAAATATTTTTATGCTTTCGTAGATTCACAATAAAACATACTTATCGAGATTTTTCGAAAATTTAAAGCATTAAAAGAAATGAAATTATGATTTTATCAACCTTTCATACGCATAAACTATTCGATTTTCTCTATTTTTTGCGCTTTTTTTAAAAAATGAATTATTCTTTATCTAGTTTTATAATATTTAAGCATTCTTTAGGTGTTTTTCTGGTTCTTCGAAGCGATTTTTATAGAACTTATCTCATTTTAATAAAGAAAATGTATAAAAATGATCATAAATTCAGCGCCAACATACAAAATAATAAGGATAAAAGTAAAAATAGAAGAGATTTCCGATTTTGATGAACGTTTTCTGCTTTTATCTTGCCGATTTTTCGGTTTAATTAATAAAAAAAAATCTGTTTTTTTTTTAACCTTTCTTCTTCAAAGAAAACTGCTTCCTTCTCGCAGCTTAAATTTAAAAATTCTACTATTTACAGAATAATCGTTCTATAATAAACGTAGAATAATATTCTCTAGAATATACAGAATATATATTTATTATTTTAAATCGGCAGACAGTTAAATATAAGAAATTTACTTAAAGTTTCATGATTCACCACACTTCATCTCATCACTTTATAGGACACCAGTCATTAGAGTCGTGCATCAATGGAGAGAATAACAATGCCCCTCTCGTTATAAATTAACATAAACTTGTACAGGTTTGTACAGGAGATTACAGTCGATTATACGAGACCTTCCACGTTAACAATTCTCTAATATACGTAATTGACGAGGCTCGAAGTGGCGGTGAATCATCAATTATTTTAAAGAATGGCCACGTGTACGAGCAAAAATCGATAAGAAATCGAGCGTAAATATTAAAGATTTCTCGCCGAATATCATAACGGAGCGATTAATTAATTAATTCAAAATAAATTTTAAATATTAATTAACCTTTCTTTAATTGTTTACGAATTTTTGAAGTTTTAAACAAAGGAAAAGATGGTCAGAAACTGCTAAATGTAGGCAAGATCCATGGCAATTAATGCGTAAAAATTTAATATATTTGTGAATATTTTTTATTTTAGGACAAAATTACGATAATTTGTAGTTTATAAGATGCAAAAACAATCATTTTCCACCCAAAATTTCGAAGAAATCCTTTAATTAATTTAAAAAAATCAATCATAAAACCACCTTTCTTCCTCGTAACCAATGTTTTAAAGTAATTCTAAAAATTCCAATATTTAATTTATTATTCTTTTTATAAATATAATAAAGATATTAATTAATATAGAGAATAATTTTTAATTTCAAACTTAATTAACTAATATATTAAACGGTAGATTTTCATCAAGGATAACAGAAAATCGATAGGAAATTCTCTTATCTCTCGGCCCATTAATAATAATTAGAACCTCTTCAATGGAATCTAATGGACGATAAATTGGCTCTTTCTAGAGTTAATTAATTCATTTTTGTGACTCACGTCACAAACGGAAATTACAATTTCTACTTGTTAAAAAAAGATCACCCTATAAATATGTCTGTGGCACGTACGAAAAGTCAGTCCTCCTCGCTCCTATTTTCTTCACTCTTCTCCATCTTTACCACTCCATCCCAAAGATTCAAAGATTCTGAATGTCGATCCTCGTTTTCCCGATAGATCTCGATCTTTAATCCATATAATCCTCAGGATTCCGAATACCGATCCCGATCATCCCGAATTCTTAAGAGCGGTATTTATGAAGCGGGCTTTGAAAACAGGAACCAGTTGGACTCGATTCCTATGCCAAAATCTTTCATGGATCATGTAAAGGTACGTAAATATAACCGTAAAATAATAGAATTTAATTAAATTTTGTAGAAATTATTTAAATTTTTCGAGTAAAATAAGTTTTATTTCCAATTTCCAAAGTTGAAACGCATGCGAAATGGCGGATTTCTAACAACTTTGAAGGGTTTCTTTGTGTTAATTATTAAGATTTGAAGGTGAAAATGTGGATTTTTAATATTCTTCTCTTGTTATAATTTATATTTATAAAGTAGATGACCTTTTTTTTTTCAATTTGTGACCGGTTGATTCCGGTTTCTTACGACCTTATTCTATATTCAGCTTCCATTAACTATATATAGCGGCATATACTTCTATATATAAGTTATGTTTATTAAATTATATATTAAAGTATTTATAAAACTTAAAAAAAAGTATTTTATACAATTAAAATTAAGTTTTTTTTAAAAAAGAATTTCCTGATGATTTTAACATTCAAACCCTAAAATGTTAGAAATACGATCCAGTAAATTATTACTTTTTCATTTAATTTTTTAAATTAAAAGAAAAAAATCAAAATATTTAAATTTATTTTTAAATAAGAATAATATTTTATTATATAAATATTAAATTTTAAAATTTAAATAACCTTCCGAACTTCCTGTAGAGGGATCGAAAACAGGAAATGACGACATTACTAAAAGGCGATGACATCACTACGGACGTCATATCCCTTATCTATCATTACTTCAAATAACGAGACGATGGCTGATCACCAAAAGTGCCTTTTGTATAATTTATAATTTTAATCGTGTTTTATTGTTATTATTATTATTTTTAATCGAAAGTTTTATTTTTATAAAATTATTTTTTTTAATTTTAATTCGTGATGACGTAATTGCTTATTTAAATGTTTTGACTATAAAAATTATTTTATTTATTTATATTTCTCGTGTAAATTTAATTACTTTTTAAATTGCGATTTTTTTTTAATGAAAAAGTTTATTAAAATTATTTTTCGTTACGGAAGCGATTTATTGTTTTTTAAATAAGAGAAGGCCGGATTGTGCATTGTTAATTATAACCACTTGTGTCTTGATATTTCTATTTCTTTTTAGTAAAATCTTTTAAATGTTTAATTTTTATTTTATAAACATTTTTATCATTATTTTAAACTGTTTTATGACGTTTTTCTATTCGTAACCAACAGAAATTATGTTTAGTTTTATAAGTTATCGTTAGATGGCGGTAGTAAGTCTTTGAACTTAATTTAAAAAAATTCAAAATCACTGTTTATAAATTTTAAATGTTTTTTTTCCCTTCATTTATATTGATTAATATTTTTTAATTCTAAGAAATATTTTAAAAATTATCATATACGTTGTATTTTTTTTTAATTTTTTTACAATTTTATAATTAAATATGGCTATTTGTTTCTTTTAAAAATCTCTTTAAAATATTTATTTTTAAAATTATTATTATTTTTTTTAATTTTAAAACTTATTTTAAAATATATTTTTGTCTGTCTTATAAAAAAAATAAAAAATGACAAAATAAACCATTGTATGTTTTCTTGGCAATTAACTGCCACCATGAAGTAATTAAGTGCCAAAATATTTTTTGAATTATGTAATTGCTTACGTTGTTTTTATACATTTGTATTTTTTTTAAATAATTTTACTTTAAATTTTGTTAAAAATAAAAATATAATTTTAACCAAAATCAAGAAATTTGCTTTATAAATTAATTTTAAATAGTTCATATTTTCGTTACGAGATGGCGTGGTAGCGCGAAACTGGACAATCGATATCGTTCGAAAGAGTTATTTATTTAAAATAATAATAATAAATTCGGCGTTAGGCGAAGAATTTATTCCTAATTCCGGATTATTTTTCTATATTCGCCGTTGTTTTAAAATATAAGGATACTTTTTTTTATTATTATTATTTAATATTCGGGTACCGGGTGTTTTCGTCGGGGGGAGGCGAGACGAGAATCGAGTGGAGTTAACGTAGACGGCGAGTTTATCGACGAGAGTTTGGCATCCACCCACAGATCTCATCCACTGCAGAGGAAGGCTCAATAACGCGCTCGCAAAACCGGTAATGCGGTAAGTGTCTGGCCGGTGACGTCACCGAAGAACTCACCTAGGGAAAGAAGGCGGCGATAAATACGAAATGGGAAAAAAAATCACCGGTCATCTCGGAGATTTGACGCATCGATTAGGAAAACAGATCAGAGAAGCGATAAGTCTTGGGGCAGCGTCAAACCCGACGGTACAATGGACGAACCGCACTGTGACGTCAGAGGAGAAGACACTACGCAGTCTCGGGTTTTAGAATCGTTGCCTCGGTGAATGAAGACAACATAACGGTTACGTTAAGCGCTTCGGATGGTCGACGAGCAACGAGAAATATAGAGGAAGGTGGCGAGACAGGATGGCAGCAGAAGTCAGCTT